AAAAAAAAAAAAAAAAATAAAAAAAAAAAAAACATACAGACGAATTGAGTACCTCCTTCTTTTGGGAAGTCGGTCAAAAAAGAAAAAACATGCACATTCATATATTATCATATACGAGCTGTTGCCCGCGACTTCGTCCGCGTGGTATTAAAAAACATACAAACTATATAAATTACAAAAAGTTACGTATCCCTGGAACCGGACATTTCTCGGGGATGAAGCTTATCTCATGTGTACTCCACACTTTGCTTTATATCTGTGCCAAATTTCAATAAGATATGTTGAACCGTTGCAGAATGATCGAGTAAACATTAAAAAACTAAATTAATGAATCCCACGGGAACCGTAACTATTCCCGGGACAAAAATTAGCCTATGTGTTCTTCCAGACTATGCTCTAAGCCTGTGCCAAATTTCATAGAGATCCGTTCAGCCGTTTAGGCTACAAACGCTAACAAACATCCATCCATCCATCCATCTAAACTTTTGCATTTATAATATTAGTAAGATAAGATGTAGAGGATAACATAAAAACACTATTGAAATTCAATCTTTATAATTCTGTAAGAAATTCGTTACAACTGGTATGTATTGTTTTCTTGTTAAAAGCAAATTACTCTGATTATAATATAAACAATTGGTAGAATTTTCAGATACTTCAGAAGTTAAACCAAATATTGGATTCTTGCTTTCTTCTAAATATTTCGCCAACTGGAATAAAAATGTGTGAAATAATTTTATATATTGTGTAATTCATGTAAAAGCAAGGTATTTTGAGTACAAATTGTACAAACTGCAGATTTAAGTGTCTAACTTCATTTTAGTTATGTAATTTAAATACTAGAATGCCATTTTACCACAAAAGTGTGTAACATTTTTACCAAAGTGTGTAATTTTATTGCAAGACTGTGTAATTTTATTACGAGGGTGTGTAATCTTATTGTATTATAAGAGTGTGTAATTTTATTACAAGGGTGTGTAATCTTATTGTAAGAGTGTAATTTTGTTGCAACAATGTGTAACCTTATTACCATGGTGTGTAGTTTTATTGCAATAGTGTGTAATTTTGTAAGAGTGTGTAATAAATTTACCTTTCCAGCTTTTTCTGTAAAACTAGTAGAATACACAGCCGCGTCTCTTACTAAACTTGGAGTCAATCTCATGCCCAATAACAATGCGATGGCGCAGCCCTGTTTGTTTAGGGCTTCGCTGACGGCCAGCAGAGCTCCCGGTTTATTTAAAAACTCCTGTAAATTAGAAAATATATAACTTTATTAAAATTGTACATTACAATATAAAAAAGTTTATGTTTTTAAACGATTTGAATTTAATTTATTTAAAAAAAAAGACCAAATTATTGTAATATGGTTTGTAAAAGTATTTTTTTTAAAGAAAATGATCAGAAGGGTAAGTTAATTAGATGGAGATGCATAGGAAGGGGAAATTTCCCTTTTCTGTATGTCCTTTGATTCGAAAAAACGCTTTCATTCTAGATAACTAAAGGTATCTGAAATTAAAAATGTAATATACGATGGTTTCGCTATTTTAGCGAATCTATATAAAAATATTACCTTAACTGGTATAGGAAAGCTGGGAACTAATATATCGCCAACGATTTTAACATCTTTCTTCAATAATTGTGTTGCTGTCAATTTGGTGACGTCACTTCTTGCGTTAACTAATTTATCGACTATGGTTTTTCTGTAATACCATATAATTATAAATGCGAAAGTTTAGATGGATGTTTGTTAAAATTTGTAGCCTAAACTGCTGAACGAATCTCCATGAAATTTGGCACAGGTTTAGAAAGTCTGGAAGAACACATAGGCTACTTTTTATCCCGGGAATAGTTAGTTCCCGTGGGATTCATTAATTTAGTTTTTTAATGTTTACTCGATCATTCTGCAACGGTTCAACATATCTTATTGAGATTTGTCACAGATATAAAACAAAGTGTGGAGTATACATGGGATAAGGTTCATCCTCGAGAAATGTCCGGTTCCAGGGATACGTAGTTGTTATTTATATAGTTCGTATGTTTTCTAATACCATGCGGACGAAGTCGCGGGCAACAGCTACAAATATATAAGTGAAGCATTTTGTACCACAAACATCCCCATTGAGGGGCTCGGAGCCTACCCTAAGGGTAGGACGTCAACTGCGACTTCACACATATCTTTGAATTTCTTCACAGATTTGTGAATCACGGATTATTCCCAACCGTCACTCGCTCTGTCCCCACGTGGGGAGAGGTGAGAATAAAAAGATTTTTCCGTCCCACCTTTAGCGGTTGGAACTTATTTCATTTCTTAAGGGTTCCTGTCACCTTATTGGTGATATTCGGACTAAAAGGTGGGACGGATGACACTTGATTCTCGTTTGTCCCCCAGGGGACAGAGCGGGGTGACGGTTTGAAATAATCCTGCATCACGATGTTTTCCTTCACAAAAGTCGGAAAGTACATATTAAAATAGAAAATCACAGGTACAGGTATTCGAACCCAAGACTTGTAGATTACAAGTCAAGTGCTTAAACCACTGAGCCACCGACGCTTTCTCAGTCTTAGAATGGTGCCGTTTAATATATGTCAGGTTTTTTTTAAATTTACCTATACTATTATAATAAAGCGTAAACACAAATAGTATATATACGAGGTGTTCTCGTACGGCTTCATCTGCATGAAATTATTTACCGTTAAAACCGGTTACAAGTAAAATTAACCTTTTTCTATTTCAATATCTTACCTGAAAATTTCTCTGTCATCAGGTTTTAATATTGTCTCTAAAAATAATACCATTTCTCTATCATGTGGAGTTCCCTTATTTACCTCTTTAGAGAAATTCACTGTGTCCAATAATATTGTAGCTGAAAACCTTACTTATATAAATGTGAAAGTTTATTGTGTCTAAATAAGGTAGATTAGTTTGATAAATGACGCATGAAGTATCGAATTCAATTTGTATGAAGTCTAACGTAAATAGACAGGTGTAGTGACGAAACACGCAGCGAACAATTATAAACTATCGATATTCGGTTTAAATTATTATCGAAATCAAATAAAGTTAATTATTTTCTTATTAACTAATTTATAGGACAATTCTAGTATTGATTATATTGTAGAGAATTTAGCGATGACAGAAATAATAGCGAAATCCAATTCGATTACGTACTGTAGTAGTAATAAACATTTATTTACTCTCATTATTTGTTATGGTCATTATTAATTTGAGAAAACAGGCTTTTTTATTTCATAAGTTATAATATGAATCTATCGATTCCAACTTCTATAAGAATAAAAATCAAAAATCGATAAGATTCATGAATGATTTTACACAACCCATCCCTACTAAATTGTCAAACTAATCAAGCTTATTTAGACACACTATAGATGGATGTTTGTTAGAGTTTGTAGCCTAAACCACTGAATGGATCTTGATGAAATTTGGCATACATGTACAGTCTGGAAGAAAATAGACTACTTGGTTTTGTTTTTTTTAATACCACACGAACGGACTCGCAGGCGAACGCTAGTATAGTCGTGTTACACTATTTATAACTCAACAACAGATTCACCAATATGGCTGAAAATTGGAAAGGAAATAGCTTAGAGCTAGGAGACAGACATAGGATACTATGTATTCCGTTTATGGATGGATGTTTCTCTCTTTCTATGAAATTTAGCAATGTTTAGGATAGTCTGGAAGAACACATAGGCTATTTACTTCTGTTTTTTTTTTAATTCCACACGGACGGAGTAGCAGGTGAAACTATAAAGGCTAGTTTTTTTTTAATAACCTGAATCCGTCAAAATGGCGAAGCGACTGCCCATAGACATGCAATTGCAGCGTTGCCTACCCTTCATTGAGGAGACGCACATAAAGAGGACATTTCCCCTTCCTATACATCTCTGTCAAATCTACTTCCCCTTCCCATCCTCTTTTTATAAGAAAAGGATAGTAAAGAGAAAGGGACTTAAATTAGGCCTCCGGCACCACTCATCAGACTGTACACGGAATTGCTTCCACTTCACGCCTGTCTGCGGTCGTGGTATTAGGGGCGTGCCCTGCAGTGCTAAGTTAAAGCGGGCACTACCACTGTTGGTATTATTATGATTTTATAACACTTACAATATAGTAAACTACAACAAACTTGGTATGTCGTAAAGAATTCTATATCCTTACACATTAAGCCACTCAAATCTTTTATTCTCTGACAAATCAATGTAGTACAAGATCCCACACTCTCTATAGTACTCCGAGTGTCGTCTTTGTAACTCCATTCCTTGTCTCTTGGTCTATGATCGATTATTTCCGTCACATATGGTAGTAAAAAGTCATATCTTTTAGCTAAAATATGATGGTCAACTAATATTATTTTAGTTATATTTGTTAAGAGATTTTTTAAGTCGATATCATCTCTGAAAGAAATAAAAAAAAAGCTTTTTTTATAATATAAGGTAGGGAGTAGCCCCAGTGGTTGAGAAAATAAGGAGTAAAAGGTTAGAGTATGGGCATGTTATGAGAAGGGATGAATCGCATGTAACAAGAAGGATGTTAGTTATGAATGTGGAGGGGTATATTGGTAGAGGTAGACCTAGAAAGAGATGGATGAATTGCGTGAAAGGTGACATGATCAAGAAGGGAGTGATGACTGAGATGACGGAAGATAGAATGCTTTGGAGGTCGAAAACCCGGTGCGCCGACCCTACGGGAGTAGGATAAGGCAGGGGAGATGATGAAGGTGGAAAACGAGCAAGCGGCCTGAATCCACCGAAATGGAAAGCGACCGCTGCCCATAAACCGTAATTGCAGCACTGCCTACCCTTTATTGACGGAGACGCACATAAAGAGGACATTTCCCTTTCCTACGCGTCTCCACCATCAAATCCCCTTTTCCTTCCCATCCTTTTCTCTTAAGAAAAGGGTAAAAAGGAAAAGGGAATAAAATCAGGCCTCCGGCACCACACTCATCAGACTGTACTTGGAATTGCTTCCACTTGGCGCCTGTCTGTGTGGTCGTGGTATTGCTGAGAGCCCTACAGTGAAGATGTTAAAGCGGGCTCTACCACTGTTAACTAACATCTAAATTTTCACATTAATAATATTGGTAAAGTAAAAATATCAGTATACAATCATTAAACTATCATCTTATTATACTAATATTATAAATGCGAAAGTTTAGATGGATGGATGTTTGTTAGCGTTTATAGCCTAAACGGCTAAACGGATCTGCATGAAATTTGGCACAGGTTTAGAGCATAGTCTGGAAGAACATAGGCTACTTTTTATCCCGGGAATAGTTACGGTTCCCGTGGGATTCATTAATTTAGTTTGATAATGTTTACTCGATCATTCTGCAACGGTTCAAAATATCTTATTGAAATTTGACACAGATATAAAACAAAGTGTGGAGTACATATAGGATAAGCTTCATCCCCGAGAAATGTCCAGTTCCCGGGATACGAAGCGTTTTGTAATTTATATAGTTAGTATGTTTTCTAATATGATGCAGACGAAGTTGCGGGCAACAGCTCGTAAATACACTTACCTGAAAACTAAATGTTCCTCATTAACATTATTTTCTTTCAAACAATAAGCCACTTCGGTTTTCAAACTATAATCTTCCCTATTGACATCAAGAATTGGTACAAATATACTATCTTTGTGATCTACACGTTTTTCTTTTGTACACACTTTGCATTTTATCCTTTCGTATTGCCAGTTTAAAAACATTGCATAAACTAAAGCGCTCACAGCGGAATCAAGATCACAACTTTCGTTGCCCAATACTATTGTTAAATCTACATAATTGTTTGTTTTCTGAAAACAGGAAAACATCACTGATATATTTCCTTAAATATTAAGCCATTGTAGAACATTGATAACATAAAAACCTCTATAACTTCAAATAATATGTTCCCTTCTCATCAGAGCCCAAAACCTCTACAAAGACCCTTGATAACTTAAAACCTCTATAACTTCAAAAAATAATATGTTCCCTTCCCAACAGAGCCCAAAACCTCTACAACATAGACCCTTGATAACTTAAAACCTCTATAACTTCAAAAAATATTTTGTGTTTCCCTTGGACTTTAACTTATCGAGGTTCTACTATAATAGCTGTTTATAAGGCAAGCTATGATATATATGAGAGCGTCGGTGGTTCAGGGGTTTTAACACTTGACTTGTAATCTACAGGTCTTGGGTTCGAATCCCGCTGTACCTGTGATTTTCGATTTTTCGAATTTTCATATGTACATAATTTACCCGACGTTCTTACGGTGAAGGAAAACATTGAGATGCCTGCACATATCGGCGGAGAAATTCAAAGATATGTGTGAAGTCAACCCGCACTTGGCCAGCGTGGTTGGCTATGGCCTAGTCACCCCATATTAGGGTAGGCTACGAGCCCCTCGGTGGGGACGTATAATGAGCTAGTGATGAAGGCAAGCTAAAGTTTAATTTAAGGTAAGCTACAAAAGGGGATTCTCTGTAACTTGACTGATGTATGCTTGCAAAAGTTTTGATATCCATCTAAGCTATGAGTTTTGTCAAACTATGAAGAGACCCCATTTTCATCATCATCTTTCTTATTCTACTCCTGTAGGGTCAGCGCAACAGGTTTTTGTCCTCCTCAACTGACTGAGATGACATATAGATAGTTTCTTATGTCATCTCAGTCATCACTCCCTTTTTGAACCTTTCACTTTCTATGCAATTTATCCATCTCTTTCTATGTCTACCTCTACCAGTGTACCCTTCCACAGTCATAACTAACATTCTCTTAATAACATGCCCTCATGCTAACCTTTTCCTCCTTACCTTCTCTACCACTGGCACTACTTTCAAACTTCTTCTAATATACTCATTTTGTATCTTAACCATTTGTGTTACCCCCACAATGAACATACCGTTTTATTATGATTTATACTAGTTTTTGGTATTTTCAAGGTAGGGCAATGCACCTCAATGCCTCGTCTAGTTACGACTATGGCTGTATTAGTTGAATTATCAATGATTACAAAATAGCCTTTGCTTGTCGGTTTTTACTACCTTTTTCCTTGATATCGGTAAAGATATGGGAATAAGTTATATCAGTTTGTTTTTTAGCATATCATCGTGGGTTCACATAACATCTATCGTTAAAACACCAAAAAATAATAATTCCTTACCAATTTATTAGAAGTCGTCGCAAGAAATTCATCCATTTTTGTTTTTTTCACTACGTCAAATGTTAAAAACACCTTATAAAGCGAATTTATACTTATTTCATTTATTAAAGTTCTTATAAACAGTTGATTTTGATTAAAATTACGTTTAATTTAGGCTGTAGGTTATTTAATTTTAGTGGTAAACAAACTTTTCAATGTCAAATGTTGTGACACAAGAACCATAGACTCATGATTGTTTTTTAAAGGTAAAAACTAATAGAACTTTAAGCACAAATAAAGTTATAAAGACTTACTACTTTTAATTTTTTTAAATAACTTCTTTGTCATATATGTATTACTATCGTACAGAAATAAAACACACAAACTCGTTAATTTATTCATTTAATTTACATTTGATTGTCGCACGCCGTGCCTCTTATCAAATCTTTCACTTGACCTCTGAAAAAAGTAATAAGTCAGCGATGAAAATTAAAACATATTTGTGTTCAAAGTTTTCAAAAAATATATAGAAAAAGCATAGTTGACACTTCAATAGAAACATTTTCACGTAATCACTAACGCCATCTATTAATAAGTCCTCCAAACCACATAACAATATAATATTTGCCACCCTTTTAGTTAAATTTTATAACAAAAGATGGAGCTTATTATGATTTTGTAAAATATACATTTCAAAGTTGCCGGTGAAAATTGTTGTTCCCTATGTCCAGTCTTTTTTTTTTAGGTCCAAAACACAGTATTTACCTGTATATGTAGAAATTGTATTCATTCGTATCCAGTGTTGAATAACCGAATCTTGGTAATGTATTCGCCATAACCCAAACTTCATCGTTCGTAACATGGAGATCTAGTAAAAAGGAAAATAAACCATTAAATAAATAAAACGAACTTTCCAAGCGGCTTAGACCATATGAAATTATAAAAACTAAATTTTTTTGTTTATAATTTGTGTCATATTCAATTGACAACTAACATACTTTTCAAAGAAGTTACTGGTAAAAAATGTTCCCTATCTCGTCTACATATTTCTTAATTACTTACCGGAAGGATAGCTCATTCTCTGCGGATGTTGGGCTAATATTACAACATTAGTAGGAGTCAGTTGACGAGCGGAATGCCAGCAAGACACCGCGTCCCTGCCGACTTCAGCGAAGAACACCACTCCAGTGTTGCCATGGTAACCGTGCATAGTACACTGGCTGTCTTCGCCGCGGACTCCCACTTCCTAAATAATGAATTTAAATGTTTTGCATTTATAGATATTACCGACTTTTATAATACTTTCATATCAGAGTTTTAAATTGACCCAGTTTTTTTGAGTTATTTGAATATTTACAATACACATCTTTCCTTTTTATAATATTAGTATAGACTAGCTGTTGCCCGAAACTTCGTCCGCAAGAAAAAAATATAGCCTATGTCAATCACTGATAACGTAACTTTCTAATGGTGAAAGAATTTTTGAAAACGACCGAGTAATTTACGAGTTATATCAATACATACAAAAATCCAAAAATACAAATCTTTTCTCTTTATAACATTAGTGTAGATTATGTGAAGGGGTATTTATTAAGCAAAGAATGATTCAAATATAACTATGCTGTGATCGACATCCTACATTGTTATGTACTTACTTAGTTTGTTAAGTGTGTTAATATTTTATTATATTAGTATAGAAAATTTAATAATAACCAACTTACAGAAAACGCAGACCAGAAATTATCATCAGAACTTGCAGTTGAATTCTTCAACACACAAGTAGATACGGAGAACTCTTCAAAACTTGACAACGGATGGAAATACGCAGTTCTGCAGCCATTTTTACCAGGCTGTGTTAATGTCACGCTGAATATTCCATCACTCCATTGAAACCTTTGACCTGAAATGACCAAATTAACTACTAAATAGTTCGTTGATAGAGCGTCGGTGGCTCAGTGGTTTGAACACTTGACTTGTAATCTACAGGACTTAGGTTCGAATCCCGCCATGTACCAATGAGATTTTCGATTTTTTTAATTTTCATATGTACATAATTTACCCGACGTTCTTATGGTGAAGGAAAACATCGTGATGCAACCTGCATATGTCGGCGAAGAAATTCAAAGACATGTGTGAAGTCAAACCAACCCGCAGTGGGCCAGCGTGGTTGACTATGGCCTAGTCACCCCTTATTAGGGTAGACTCCGAGCCCCTCGGTGGGGACGTATAGTGAGCTGGTGATGATGATGATGAGTTTGTTGATTATCAATCCATATTCAAACCAGATTCAAAAAATATAGTTGGCATAATTGACACTTCACTTGAAAAATTTTTCATATATAACTAACGCTATCTATTGACAAAACCTCAAAACCATTTCAAAATAATTGTAATTAAATTGATTGCCAATTGATATATTTTGATGTTAATATTTTATTTTATTTCAAGAGATGGAGCTTATTAAAATTATATACATACGACATCTCCAACAAATGGCCAACATTCAAAAAATATCTCCGAGAGGCTATCACTCAAATTTAGTTTAAATTTGACGGTTTGGGGTCAATAAAAAAAAAAAAACAGGTTCTGTCTGTTCTGTTGTTGTTGTTATTTTTCTATGTATGTCGTGTAAACCTATAATTAGGAAAAACTATCTGCATGTTACTTATTGTATTGTGTAAAAATGTATGTGTTATAATTTTGTCTTGTTGGTTTATCTTAATAAATAAATATAGCACCTTTTAGAGAAAGTATCGGTGAAGAATTACGTTAATTTTACATATTATTCAAATGTATTTGATTCCAACGTTTTAAAAATAAGAAATATTGATCCATTTTATACATACCAGCGATCCTAAAATTCCCAGCTGTTGGTGAGAGATAGAAATAATTGTGAGTGAGACGCCAACTGTCGTTATTTTTCAAAGAGTAAACAATTAAACCGAAAGTCGTTAGATCCGGGACATATGCATAGGCGTCGCTGCAATCGCCTGTTATGTCTATGGTTATAGACGCTAGCCCTAAAATAACAATAACAATTACTGCATAACCTTAAAAAAATACTTTTAAACACGTATTTTGACCCCCAGCTGATATTATTTACCTGAAAATTATCTCATTATACACAGTTCTTTGGCGGTCATTACCCTTGACATTTTACTAATATTATAAATGTGAATGTTTAGATAGATTTATGTTTGTTAGTTTGTATCCTAAATTGAACGGAATTCGATAATTGTCATACATGTCTAGTCTGGATGAATATATAGACTACTTTTTTGTGTTTTTTTATATTCACACAAACGGAGTCGCGGGCAAAAGCTAGTTTATAATATTAGTAAGAATTTAGATATAAAATATGACGATCATTTCAAATAAATGCTTATAGTAATATGAGTTTATTGATATAACTAGTTACTAGCTGTTGCTCTCGATATCGCCCTCGTGAAATTAAAAAATATAGCCTATGTTACTCAGTGATAACGTAGCATTTTAATCGTGAAAGAATTTTTGAAATCGTCCCATTGAAATAACTCAAAATTTCAATAATACAAATATACAAAAATACAAATCTTTCCTCTTTTTAATATTAGTATAGATATTAACCTGTAGGTGTATTAGCGGCTGGAATATCAGAACTCTTGAATGGATATCTCAATATCTGTTGGTCTGTACTTAAATCGTATATTACAATCGCTGGTTGTTGAACTTGTTGAGGCGAGCCTGTAGTTTTAATAATAAAAAAAACAATGAAACAAACAAGGAAATAAACGAAGTCATGAACGAATTTAATGAATACGCATTACAGGATAACTTACAGAAGGACTGTTGTAAGAAAAAATTTAAAACACAGTAACTAAATATCTACGCGGCTGAATAATTTTGTCAGTTCTAACTAGAAGAGATTTAATTTATTTTTCATATCGTAGTTTATGTATTAGTATAAGTAATATTTTGTTTATAAAAATAAGTTCATGCATTAAAAGTATTTACTTTATGGGTGCAGTTTTCGCCAACAAACTGCCAAAGCAGTTTTATATTACTTTATATTTTTGTATTAAAATTAAGCTACTTATAAATAAAATAAAGTTTTCGCCAACAAACTACTTTGGCAGTTTGGCGAAATTTTATATTTTTGTATTAAAATTAAGCTACTTATAAATGAATAAAAAAAAACTATAGAAAAAATCTGTCTGATAACTCTATTGAAAACAGCGCCATCTATTGACAAAGTTTTATTTGGTTTTTATTAATTTGAACAAAATTAAACATAAATTCGATTGTGCCGACTCTACGGGTGTAGAATAAAGAGGATGATGATGAGTTTAGTCTGTAGGCTGTTACAAACATAAAAAAAATTACCTGGTATTTCGAGTAAACCGGTATCCACCATCCATAGTCTTCCACACTCATCAGCTCTAGTTCTATACACAGATGTCAGATCTCTAGACCTTCGTATACTAGGATACGGTCTAAGACCTGGGGATCTAGTGTTCAGGTCCTTAGTAAGGTCTATATAGTTCAATGTTGATGGTATTCCTGGAAAATAAAAGATATACGTATTAGTCTATGTCAAAAAAGTACCACAAGAAAGACATAGAAGGGAGTGAACAAAATTTTTACACAGGTACTTCTCTGAAAGGTACTATATCAGACAAGTTTAGTGCCATCTCGTGTATTGACTTGTAATAAAACATTTGACTAAATTACAACAATCTCTTGTTATAAATAAACTAAATATTGTCACAGAATAAAATACAAACATTTAAATTTCATTTAGTGACATCTATTGGCAATTAACTTAAATACAATTAATTACGTTGACACGTTTTGGGGATATGTCAATAGATGGCGATAGTAATATGTGAATAATGTGAAGTATCAATTATGTCTACTCTATATTTATTGAATCTCTTTGCATCATCATCCACTTGCCCTTATCCCTTACGGTGGGTCGGCACAGTATGTGCTGCTCTTCCATACATCTGAATACTCTCCTTTCTTTGGTAGATATATCCTCTTTTACACAATCCATCCATACTTTCTTCGGTCTTCATCTACCTTTGTAGCCATCATTCAATCTTAACACTTTCTGGTTTATGTCACCATCGTTTCGTCGCATACCATATCCATACCACCACTGGCACTACTTTCAAATTCCTCTAATGTACACATTCTTATTGCATAACATACTTATAGATTATATGTTATTGTCCAAAATTACAAACCATATCTCCTCCGTGGTACGGTTACAAACAATCTTTCACCAACTCGTTCTACACCCATCGGTACATTGTTGTACTGCACGAAAAATCTACCTTCTTCATCTGGAATTAAAGTAAAAATTTTGTACAGTTTGCATCCTACATAACAAAGTGTGTGTTCACGCTCTATATGAATAAATGTAAACTAGTACTATTGATAAATTCTTCTTTATTTATTGATAAAAACACACAAACTAATTCACATAAATTGAAAAAAAAGCATTTAATACAAATAAAACATGGTTACATCGCTCACGTCACATTTTTCTCTTCATTCGAATTACGTTCCTTAATTACAAAATATTTTCTATGGCTTTCTTGGCAGCCAGCATGATATTCATTACTTATTGGTTAACCACTATACTAGTATAGTTTGAAGAGTTGGACCAACGAGCGATCAATATTTTTTATAAATACAAGCTTACCAACTGGTTTAATCGTTGGGGTGCCTTTGGTATTTTCCGGCGGAGGTTCAGGAGGACCTGAAAATAAATCAATTACGTAATAATTAAATGCAAAATAAATTACATTAACTGCGTAACTTTTGACTAAACTATTGGATAACTGTTTAGTCTCACTTTGATTCCTATGGAGGTAAACTATTCAATTTTTAGTTGTGCAACTAAATAGTACGAACTGATTGACAATCGCACAACAATGTTCGATAGTGTAGTAAAAGGTGTGCCCACACTTTATAAATACTAATGGCAGTGGTAGAGCCCTCTTTAACAACTCAATGATAACATAGCTTTTTTATGGTGAAAGCATTTTTTAAATCCGCCCATTACTTTTTGAATTATTTCAATATAAACAGAAAACAAATCTTTATAATAGTATAGATGTCACATACCTTGGTTCCATTCCCTGGTATCCTCTTCATTATCAAAGAAGACAATATCTGACTCCCTTTTGCTTCTAGCGTCCGACACATCGTCGGCGAATCTATCTTGCAGTACTGTGAAAACATAAACAGTAATAAAAATGAAAACAAAGAAAAAACGACAGAATTACAAACAAAATACTAGTCAAATTACACATATGAGACTCACACACCTACGACAAAACTATCGCGATTATCAATTGTTTCGCAATCAACTGTTTAGTTGCACAACCTAAACATCGAGTAGTATACTTCCACGATGGAATCAAAGCAAAACTAAACAGTTGTGCGATAGTTTTATCAAAGGTGTGCGCACTCTTAGTCATTGAAATGTTTTAGCTAAATTCTACACAGTGATTGCTTCATTTTACCGAATTCATATATCCGCTTGTTAATTTCCTTATGACATTAAATAAAGACGACCTTTAAAATATTGCATAACAGTGATGAATTAAAAATGCATAAATGTTAAGTCATTCTGTTCAGTACAAAGAGTTTCAAACGATAATAGAGTAGGCATAGTTGACACTTCACTTGAGACATTTTGACATAAATTAACGCCATCTATTGATAGATCCTCAAAACATGTCAATATAATTGCCAATAGAAGTGTTTAAAATATATTAAAACGTTTGTATTTTATTTTGTAATCTTTACTATTATAATAAAGCGTAAAAACACACTTTGTTGCTAAAGATGTCAGCAATTATAACATGTTTTTGAATGATTCTTTTTGTAATAAAAAACCCTACACTACGTCATGCTTTAGGCTATATCTCATGACATTAAACACAGGGAGTAAATATTTTGAAAAAAGAACCCTAATGTGGGAAAGAGACCATAAGTTGCTGCCAACATCAAGAAAGCTAATTTTCCATAGTAAGGTAATTGGTATTTTGACATTTGCAATTGATTATTTGACACATGTAAACAATAAAATAAAATTTTCATAATTTTATGCGGAAGAAGTCGCAGGGGATTAGCTAGTTTTATACATAGATGGAGCTTATTATAATCTGGAAGAATACATAAGCTTATGTATCAGCCGGAGTCGCGGGCGAAAGCTAGTCTACACTATAATTTTTTCCGCTTACTGGAACACTTGTACAAAAGTATAGTTGTCCCTTTTCATTCTATTCGAAAAAGCAAGGATAAAAAATGTTTTGCACAATGTTATGTCTAGTAACAAACCATTTAAATACATAACTTATCGTGTCTTATTTGACCTTGGCTTTGTGATGACTTAGATGCATGAATTTTAGTGATGTGCCCGAATGGTAATCTATCTATACCTATACTATTATAATAAAGCGTAAACACACACTTCTTTGTTGCTTTAGATGTCAGCAATTACACCATATTTTTGAATAATTCTTTTTTTAGTAAAAAGCAACTTAAGTCACGCTTCAGTCTATATATTTCACGCTATTAAACTTAGGGAGTAAATATTTTAGATAAAAACCCTAATGTGGGAAAGAGACCATAAGTTGTTGCCAACATCAAGGAAGCAAGATTGCCATGGTTTGTCATGTTATGTCACTTTGACATTTGCAATTGATAATTTGACACATGTAAACAACAAAATAAATATTCATAATTTTATGCGAATGTAGTCGCACGGGAACAGCTAGTTATTTATAACTAGCTGTCGCCCGCAAACTTCGTTAGCGCAAAGGACCACCCGTTAGGCCGTTTTGACAGCGCGGAATTTAAAAAAAATTCCTGTATTATGCCTATCAATGTCAGCTACCCTTCAGTGAAAGTCCGCCGAAGACGGCCCAGCCGTTTCGGAGAATACCCGGAACAAACACGGCTTGCGGACAGACACACAAACTTTTTTTAAATGCGATTTTCATTATCAGCAAACCAAATACACCCCGAAATCTTGAATTCTTCTTTTGATATTACAAACAGACACTCCAATTTTGTTATAGTTATGTACAGAATTCGAAATTTTTTATCGATATTTTGACATCTCTAATTGACAACTCACCCAAGTTCCCGCCAATGTTGTACGTAAGTTGTTTCCATGCAAATACTTCTTGAAATTTCCCAAGTTTCCTCTGTGATATAACTTCAGTATTTAACAATAATAACATTTGTAGTGAAAATATTATCTCCGATTTCGTCCACATTTTTATTCAGTTAGCTGATGTTTATGTTATTTTTAATCTGTGGAAAAGAAAATATTTTTTTACGAGCAAATAAACAATTGAGAGTAATAATTATTGTTTTAACGCATTTTAGCATGTGATATTATTGTTCAAGAGAAAATTTAAATAACGAAAATATACTTTTTTATTTATAATATAAGGTGGCAAACGAGCAAGCGGCCAGAATCCACCGAAATGGAAAGCGACCGCTGCCTATAAACATCCGCAATTGCATCGTTGCCTACCCTTCATTGACGGAGACGCACCTAAAGAGGACATTTCCCCTTCCTACGCGTCTTTTCCACCATTATATCTACTTTTCCTTCCCATCCTTTCCTCTTAAGAATAGGGTGGAAAGGGAAAGCGACTAAAATTAGGCCTCCGGCACCACACTCATCAGACGAAACGTGGAATTGCTTCCACTTCACGCCTGTTTTCTGTGTGGTCGTGGTATAACACCGGGCGAGCCGACCCATTCGTGCGATGATGTTAAAGCGGGCTCTACCACTGTAAATGCATATTTAGGTTTACACTGATGTTTTTTAGATTTTGTAGCCTAACTATGAAATTTGGTATAGATGTATAAGATAGTTTGAAAGAACACATTCACATTCATATATTAACATTTTTGTTTGAACAAAATAACGTTTTGTCAGGGTAGTTGTGTCACAGTTAACATTGGCTCTTATAATTTAAATGTTTTTTAAATAATTTGAGAACTAATTTCTACTTTTTTTG